ATTTATACCCCCAGTGTCTATCTTGGTGCCTGGCACATGGTAGGGACATCATAAATGTTTGGAGAGAGGGAGAGCCAGAGAAAGGAAAAGAGGAAGAAGAGGGAAAAAGAAATAAAACAAAAAGGACTGAGTTTGTCATCCCACAGAAAGAATGATGGGCTCTGTGTAAATCTAGACCTTTGGCTTACATGTCCACAAGTCCTACCTACAGTGAGTTTCAGTTTGGGTACTTTGAGTACAAATTTCCAATCTTTGAGCCAGAATCCCATTTCTTAGTAGATGGGATTTATAGATATGCTCTCAGGAAAGCTCTGAAGGAGATCACAAAAACAGCCAAGTCTCCCTATTTTGGTTATCAGTGGAAATGTAGTGTATGCCTGTGGGCCATTTTAGACTGATCCTCTAAGTTAGTTGCTGTCTGGTCACCATGGGCTATGGAAATATGGAATCCATGCCTAGATGAGTCAGCGAGTTAAATTACTTGAAAAACTGTTATTTAAATTTAAGCCTTTTCTTCTTTCCAATTTTGGTCACTGAGAATGTGACTTCATATCCAAAAATGAAATCAAGGAGCAGCAAATTATCTGAATAATTCATGCCAGAATTACCCAAACACTTTGTTCTTTGAATACTGGTAATTCAGAACTAGGTAATTGAAGGGTCCTGGGAGGCTCGAATTATCCTGATATTCTTCAGATAAATGCCTCAGATTAACATTTTACTTGATATAGACTCAGAGCTAATCGTGCTGGGTTTTCTTGTACAGAAAGTGTTCTTTTTAGTGTTTTTGAACACAGCACCTCTTATATTAAAGAAAAATGCTCCATCAATGTCTAAATGAGAGTATCCTTAGACTACAACCTAAGCCTTCTTTTTAACTTTTATTTTTTAACTTTTATTCACTCCCTGAATCAACCACTTGCTTTTAACTTGATATTTTTTCCCTAATATTCTGTACCCCTGAATAACACGCTCATACAGATTTTCAATTTTAGATATTATCTCTATTATCTGTTGGCATCCTACTATAGAAGATAGAAATGATAGCTAACACTTATAAAGCACCTACAGTGTACCAAAGAATATTCCAGGTGCTTTATGCATATTAACTGTTTTAATCTTCAATGACACAAGATGGTAGATACTATTATTATCCACATATTGCAGATTGGAAACCAAGACACAGAGAGTTTATGTATCTTGCCCAAGATTTCACAGTAAAGATGGCAATGAATTGTGGAGCTGGGGTGTGAACTCAATCAGTCTGGTTCCAAAATCCATATTCTCAATGATGAACCAAATTTGTCCAGCTCTACTTTAGCATCCAGCACTACCCCCCACCCCAGCACAACACACACCTACTTCTTTTTCCCACCATCAACATAGTCATATCACTCTTTGAGGTTAAATCAGATTCAGTGTTTGTTATTAGTATCGCTATCTAAATATTAATCACAGTGGATCTGTGCAGTGTACTATATTACACCTCCTTTCTCATATAACTTTATGTTTTCCCTGGAGACAATAATTTTGATTTCTTAGTTTGCAATTCATTTCTAAACACGCTGCTGGAGACAGAAATCAGACAAAAATTCAGGTATCAGACAAAAATCAGGTATCTCTCATTTTCAGTCTGTTCCTGGAGACACCCTCTTTCCTCCTGCCCTAGTCTGGACTGCTGCTGTCTACACAGCTGTCATCCTGGAGTTTCCTATATACATCATTCTAGGATTCCTTTTGCTTACCTCCTGTGAAGAGCCCTATTTCTTGAATCTGTCTTTTCCCATTTTTTGGTTTATTCTCTTGCTTTGGTAAACACATCTTCCTAACGCTAATTTTTTTGAGACTTCACTTGTCTAAAAATATCTTCAATTTGCCCTCATATGTATTAGGAACGTTTGGCTGGGTGTAGAATTCTGGGGAGGATATTATTTTCCCTTAGAGTCTTTTAAACACATTGTTTCCTTTTCTTCTTGTTTCTGATGTGTCTGTTGAGTAGCTCCTTTCCTCCCTGATTGCTAATCCCTTGGAAGCTTTTACAATTTTTCTCCTTATCCTCAGTATTTTGATTTCTTGGTGCTTTGCCATGATTCCGTTTTCATTCCTGGGGCGTGGGCACTCAGCAGTCTTTTTCAGTCTGGAAACCTATCTGCTTCAGTTCTGGGAAATGTTTTTATACAATTTCTTTGAAAATTTTCTTCCCTCCAATTTCTCTGTTCACTGTTTCTGCAAATCCTGTTACTCTCATGTTAGAAACACTGGACCAATCCTCAAATTTTCTAACTATTCTTCTGTGTTTACCCATGCTTTTGCTTTTTCTAGCTCTTTCTAGGATATTTCTGGAATGCTACCTTCCACCTTTCTACTTTTTATTTCTACTATAATAGTGCTAATTTCTACTAGCACTTCGTCAGTTTTCTCTTTCTTCCTTTTTATAGCATCATATATGCAAGACATTTAAATTTTACAATTAGTTACAAATACAAATCTATATTTTATCTTTCCTTTTTACAATAAAGGTGGCATACTATACACACAGTTTTTCTTCTTGCTTTATTTCACCTAACACCTTGGAGATCTTTATGTATAGTATAGAGAATCTTCATTCCTTTATATAGCTGTATATTATTCCATTGTATGAAGGAACTATTTTTAATCCTTCATTTTTACTGAGATTCTGGTATTTTTCTTGTTGATTTATAGCAGCTCTTTATATATTACATATTATGAAGATTAACCCTTTGTGATATGAATTGCAAACATTTTCCCCAGTTTTTCTTTTCTTGTTGTGGTTATAATTTTTTGAAGTTCTCATCACCTGCCTAATTTATCTCTATTCACGTTGACTTCCATTTCTCTGTTTATTTTGGTCTCTGTCTTTCATAGTAGTGCTTTCCTCATATGCCTGGTGATCCCTAACTCATTCATATTTAAGAACAAGACACTAAAGCTGAGTAGAAGCTCTGGCTTTATGGATGAGGCTTGTTGAATGGTAGATGTTGCTTCCCAGAAACTGGTGAGTACTAGGCTCTTTTCTTGGGAAACTCACTAATTGTCAGTATTTGTAGGTCTTTTCTCTTGGCCAGTTTATTTCTCAAGATAAGGATACTCCAGTCTCCTGCTAGGGCTCATAAACCTGATTGTTGGGATTCTGTGAGTCAAACTAGCAGGAGACGGGTTAAGAATTGTGTTCTATAGGGAGACTTTCACTTAATCTCATGATTTCCACATACTTCAGCTGAATTCAGAGTCTCTCTGGTTCATGCCTTCCAAACTGTAACCTCCCGTCTTCCTTCACATTGGAAAAGGAGCAGTCACCTGGCTGCATTGAGTCATGAAGGTAATCTAGGGTATGAACTGCTACTTCCAAAAATAAATTTCAAATAATCTTCCCACTTTCAGCACCCACACAGCACTCACTGTCCCTTCAGAAGTACCTGGTACTTCTAGTTCCTGTGTCTTGCAGTGCAAATCAGTTTGTTCGGGTGCCTGGCTGTAGGCTTAGATTTCTGCTCACAAAATCAATTCCACGTGTCCATCCACCTTCCCGTTTCTGAAGTATTATTGACATTTTGTCTATCATCTCCTCTCCCATTTCCCTGATTCATTTATTTCTTTACTTTCATTTTAGAGTTATTTTGTAAGAAAGGGTGATAAATATGTGTGTTTAACCCATCATGTTTAGTTGAAAGTCCCTAGAACGTCTTTTAACCAACGAGATTTTTCTTTCACTTTCTTCCCTTCCTTGCCCATGGACAACTCTCTAAAGGTCTATTCAGAGGCATAAACAAAAATAAGAATTATAACTTTCAGAGGGTGATGATGATCAAATATTTACTAGAACACTGAGAATAGACTGCATGGTCTTTGTAAGCAAGCATGATTTTGAGGCTATAAAACGAAACTTGGGGTTCTCCATCCAAATACGTTCTCATGTTCACAAGTACCATTACCAGAAACAGTTTGTTTTTGTCTGGTGTAGCAACAAGAAGGAATTTAGTAATATATAGGTTTGCTCACCCTCAGGAGATAACTCCTGTCTGGAAGATTTTATACCCAGAATGGGACTAACATCTCATAAAAATGAATGCATCTACCCAAAAGGAAATTCACTTAAAAAGCAAAACTGTTCCAAGTCTTGAGCTTGTGCTTCTTTCCATAGGCTTACTGGGTATCAAGTATTGAGGGGGAAACAGCATTGTTGTTCCCTAGTTTCTTCTTTTTCCCATAGATTTACCTACTTATGGTCTTCTAACATGCTACTACTCAGAATCACATACTCAAAGAAAAAGCATCTTCTTTAAACTATTAATATTCAATATTATCAGAAAATAAAAGGTGTTACCAGTGAATCCATGTAAACTGTAAATATCTCTTGATTTTGCTTGACCAACAGTACTGTACTTCCTGTCTTGTTTGACTTTGATAAAATTGACTGTACAATTTTGCCTGGATTCCAATCACTATGATTGAGAAATTACTTCCAGAGCAAAATTAAAAACTGTTCACTAAGTGTGTCAGGGCCAGCCGGGTGGCATAGCAGTTAAGTTCATGAGCTCCACTTCAGCGGTCCAGGGTTCACTGGTTCAGATCCCGGGCACAGACCTATGCGCCACTTATCAAGCCATGCTGTGGCAGGCATCCCACATATAAAATAGAGAAAGATGGGCACAGATGTTAGCTCAGGGCCAATCTTCCTCAGCAAAAAAAGAGGAGGATTGGTGGTGGATGTTAGCTCAGGGCTAATCTTCCCCCGAAAAAAAAAGGAAAAGAAAAAAGTTGTTTACTAAGTGTGTGTTATTACATGACTGTTGCTTTTATTGTTTAAAGCGTAGTTTATACGAAAAGAGAATAATTTGCCTACTGGAATGAAGTGTTCTTCAGTGTGGTTTGTGTGAGGATAATTTCCATTTTTTGTGAGCTGTTTAGTGGTGTTATACGTCTTGTAACTTGACCATAGTTTTATCTAATTTTGGCCTTGTGGTTTCTCTTCTGCTTAGGCATAATGCCATCAATAGAAAAGTGAAGAAATCCTACAGCATAAAGCACATTGCTGAGCCAGAACCAAAAGAACTCTTCCTGTAAATCACTTTTTTTATTCTCTCTCATTGCTGCCCTTTGGACACCATTGGAAATCTCTGGATTATCCTCTATGGAAATAGAACCAGGAGAACAATGCTTCACCAGCAGAAGAACAGAATATCAGAACGCCTTAAATTTATAATAGTAGACTATATCAGACACATTTTGGGATGATATTTGTAAATATAACTTGTTTTTAAAGAGATGCTGTTTAAAAGCATGATTGGGCAAATGTATGTTTTTTAAGACTGGATTGATTCAGCCTACCCACAGGACATTTACCAAGCCACTGACTCCATTTTGTATTTCATCAATTGCATGAGTGTTTGCTAATGTTGATTGAATTTCCCTTTCCCCATAATATGGGCAGTTTTGGCTCAGCTCCTCAATGAGACCAGGTCAGTGGTATTGCTTTCGGTCAAGAGTGTTTTTTCTGTCATTTCTACTTTTGGTATAAAGGAAATAAAGCAATGTTAACAGTCACCTATAAGCTTGGGGTACCTACATTCAAATAAATCTGTGATGTTCTGATTTCTAAGGGATTTTGAGAGTATTTTGATTGCTGATATTTTATTTCAGGAACAAACTGCCCAGTTTAGCTGTTTTCCCATAGGGGTCAAATAAAACATTCTAGTTTTCATTAAGTACTAAAGGATCAGACAAGTATATAAAGTAAGTCAATTCCTTCTGTCTTCTCAAATCGTAGTGTTGACATGAGAAAATGCTAATGACAACTAAGGATTTAGCCCCTTCTTGGGTCACTTTTTTCTGCCTCTAACACATTATGAGGCCTGTCTAATCCCTTTAGGAGACAGTGTGGAGCCTGAGTTCATAACAGCCCTATTGTTGATGCAGCTTTTAATCCATGTAAGCAGTAAGTTCCAGATGGTTTCGTCCTATCATGTAAAAATATATTTCTGTTGAAACTTCAAGAGTTTTATTTTCAAAGTGTTGGCATGGCCTATAAGAGGCTTGTCAAATTTTAGTCTGAAAGCAGAATGTATTCTTACTAGTAGGAGGGAGCACTATATGCTATTAACAGTTTCTAGCAATGTTACTGCAATCAAATGTGGACCATTCTGTATTCTGCGTGGACAAAAGACACCAACGTGCTGAATTATGAGGTAATCTTGCATATGTGAGTCCTCTGATAAACGTGGACTTGATGAGATGCAGTGAGGTATAGAAGAAGGAGCGAATATTTAAATGCCTTTTATGTATCAGCCACGCTTATGTGGAGATATTATTACTGTCATTTTATAGATTACAAAATTAAAGTTCAGAAAGTTTAAGTCCTGTGTCCAATGTAACACTACTGGTAAATAGCAGAATTGGCTTTGGTGCACATTTACTTATCATCCCACTACACTGTCTGTCTGTCCTGCATTATGCTATGTCCTTAGTGAGTTGCCCACTGGACTAGTACACAGGAAGCATGAATAGTGAAATTGGCTCTACTTCTGGACAACTCTTTCATCTTGGGCAAGGGACATTACCTCCTTGATAAAGCTGGAAAAGGTCAAGACTGGCCTACACACACATCTAGGAGGCAGGCTCCTTCCAACTTACAGAGCAACATGTCTATGAATTTCCCCAGTTTTCTCTTTCCTTGTTTGGGTCCTGTGAGTTCCTGTTTTTAGAGCCTGGTGCTGTGTGGGTCTGCATTCTCACATTGTCTTTTCCTCAAGTGAGATGCCCTATTCTGGTTTTGGCCCCTTGGCCTCTTGTGCCCTCGTTGATTGCTTCCTTACATTTCACTGCTCTGTCCTAGTGCTTGATTTCTAATAGAGAATATATGGCAAGCTCATGTGAAACATGGATTCCTACATTTTCTGCTTGGTGCAGAGGAGGTGACACTGGAGTCACACATGAGTCAACCTTTGGGACTTGGCCCTAAAATGGAGCCTGCAAAGAAAGGCAATCCAAAGAGTGCTCTCTGTCCCCCAGGGGCCTCAGTTATTTTCTTAGACAAACTGTACTTTTAAACTTGAAAGTTGAAGGGAGCTAGGCATTCTGCAGAGATTTTATGAGCCAGACACAGAGTTCCCAATTAAACATGGCAAAAAATTGTCAAGAACTTGAAAGTAAGAGATGCTACCTTGACCTAGAAAACTCCAGAAATTCAACTGTTTACTGACACTAGCATTTTAGGTACCACAGTCCTATGCACAGAACAAACAATTTAAAAAGGTAAAATAGGAAAGTCGAGCAGATTCAGATGAGCCAGACTGCAAGACAATGCATTCTGTGTTTAAGGAGTTTGCTAGGACACTAAAAAGGCTGCCTCTTAAATCACATGTGTACCATATCTAAATGCTGCTTCTTAAATCACATGTGTACCATATCTTTACCATCCAAGTTCCTTATGAAATGGATACATTACGTTTCTTGAAATTAATAGAAATGATGTTTTCCTTACCACAAACTTAGTTTTGTGCAGAATTTCTTAAATAAAAACACAAACATTTCTTGTAGAAATTGAGATGCAGTTACTTGTTAAAGAAAGAGAATGTTTCCTTTTCATAAGCAGAGCTTTGGGGTCCCTGCCCCAACTCCCTCCCGTTGGGCTAGTAAAATGAGTAAAGCTCTATCTACATGCCTAATTACATACGGCAGAGCAGGAAACTCAGCTCCACTGTAAAAAAGCTATCACAACATCTGTCAGCGTCTTGTAAAGACTGGCTGCTTTTATGTCACTAAAGGGACTTGTATTGCCAGAGTTCAACACATTAAATTAAGAATGTTTCTTAGAAAAGATAACAAGATTCCCATCCTTCACCACTTTGAACAGATTGAATTTCCATTATTTAGTCTTATAAAACCTTAGTTATCAGTACCTCAACCCTAATAAGAAAGCTCTGGGTTTGCATCATGGGGTTGGGAGTGGGGATGAGACTCTCAAAGGGTAACTCCAAGTAAATTTTGATAATTTATTTTTTTCTCAAAGTGAATATTCATAAGCAACATACTGGATGGCACAGGCTGGAGGAAATTACTGTAAAATAAATATTTTTAGAAATTCCCTGAAAGACTTCCTGATATGAAATAGGTTGAATGTTATTTCTTCAGTAGGCACCTACTGGAGAATATGCTTAATGTTGAGTTAAGTTGATAGAGCAAAGTAAGAGTAAGGAATTTATTACAACAGAGTTGGTACCATTTCTACCCATAAAAATGGAGTTCATGCTATCTACTGCCCAAAGCTCCCATTTGTTAGTAACTCTGTCTATAGGTCCTGTATTATTTCTGGTATTATTTCCCTTTATTCTTCTACTATTGCATAGTTTTATGTAACTTTTGAAGTACTTGATTCTTGTCTTCTAATGAGACCATAAGTTTGTTGATCTCAACAGAATCTGTGTGTCACCTCTCATAGATGGTGGTTAGTAAATATCTACTAACAACTTTTTTCAGTACTCTTATATCTGTCTTTATCTTCTCATTTCTACTCATTCTTCTTCTTCCACTCTCTCCGCTTTTTATCTCTTTTTCCCACTCTCCTTCCCTTCTTTACTCTCGCCCCTTCCTCTTTGCTGTCATCTCCCTTCCCTTGTTTCTCTCTTCTCTGCCCTCAGTTCCTAAGATCTCTATACCCTTTATCTAGGATCTTCCTTGGAAGAAGGCTGGCAAAGGAATTGCAGTAAGTAGAAATGTGCTGGACCTATGTTTACAATGAAAAGTAAATCACCTCTCCCTTCTTGCCAGAGCATGTTAGTAGAACGAGCATCTTTCTACATGCTGACGTAGTCCACAAACTCTGACTGAGCCCATGCCAAGAAAGAGGACCCAAGCTAGGCACTCTCCTTGAATAAAAAAGACCCAAACATTGGTATCCACCATAGTGGGGACAAACAAGGATAAGATAAATTGTACCAAATTGTACATTTCAAGGGACTTGTGGAAAAAAGGTATTCTAATTGGTTTATAGCAGTGGTTATCAAACTTTGCTGCACATTAGAATCATCTGGGAGAGCTTTTAAAAATCTAATATCAAAGTTGAACCCAATAACAAATAAATCCACCCTCTCTGGAGTGGAACCCAGGCATTAGCATTTATAAAAATTCCCCCAGGATTCAATGTGCAACCCAGTTCTAAAACAAGCACCTTGCGATTCAAAATGTGTTCAGGCTCTACCAGCATTGGCATCATCTGGGAGCATATTAGACATGCAGAACCTCCTGGCATTCATCATGGCCTTTAATTTTGTGATGCTGTGAACTGTCTATTGAGACAGCATTTGAGCAGATAGTTGGACAAAAAGGACCCTTTCTCAAGGAGAGGGGAAGAATGGTGCACCCTAAACCTGGTGGAAGGTGTGGAGAAGAGACTATTGGGTGTTTTAGGAAAGTGTCACTGGAGTCATTGCACTCATGTTTACTGTGTGTATAGATTGAAAATCATACTCAATACTATTATTTCAGATGGAGGAAATTTAAAAATCATAATTATAGAAAGTAAGGGTTCTTTTCTGGTTGGGATAGGTAGAAGACAGAACAATAATTTTTCGATAAAGAATGGGGTCATTGCACTTTCTTGTTTAATCATAACAGGGCTAGCTTTTCAATTGCTGTTTTTCTAAATTTCCCAAAATCTATGTTTATAGAAGTCAAATCATCAGTAAGCTACACATCTGGCAGTGGCATAAGCAAAACAAAAGCACACCAAAACAAAGACTAAAACCCACTCCCCAACCACTTCTGCAGAGCTCCCCATAACATGCCAGCAAGGTTGAAGACATATTTTATGACCACATTACACAGGACAGTGCTATATCGCATGCCAAATTCATTCCTTGGTTTACACAATGTACACACGCACAGAGCAAATGCCTACCATGTACACAGCTCTGTCCCAAGTGGTGGAAATGCAACCATAAATCTAAGGTAATAAATGCCTAGTGCTTTTGCTGAAATGTGAAAAGACTGAGTTAAACAGGATAAATTTGAAAAATATAGCAATCTGTTGTGATGTGCTCACATTTATGTTTTATAACTATATTTATCTTTTGTTTCTACGGAGTTTGTTCTTGCAATGTTCAGCCAATTAGTAGCAAAGAAGGAAGAATTAGAAATTCTATTTGTGGTAGTCAGTGCTAGTTGCCTTCTCAGTACTTCTTCTCCCTTTCTTCCTAATTAAGAGAAGACAGTTAAATGTTCACAGGTAAAATTACTTTCCCAGATGCCCTTGAATGGTCATGTGACTCAGTTCTGGCTAATGAACAATCAGTAGAAATCACAGAGCGATGCTTTAGAAAGCTTCGTGGAGGAAGCAGCTTACCTGGCACTTCTGTTTTTCCCCTTGTCCTACACCCCTCTTCCCCTTGGGGTAGAGCAGTGCCTCTTGCAGCCATGAGAACAAAAGTCACATGCCAAAAACAGAAGAGAAGGAAGGAGAAAGAACCTTATTCCATGAATAGCTGCATAAGCCCTGGACTGTCCTGCTTATTATTTGTTAAGTGAGTAAAATAAGCTCTTTTTGTTGACCAAGTCACTAAGCTCTGGCTTCTGGTCAGAATAGCCAAATATAAAACCTAATCGATGTCCTCATCATAGAGAATAGAGTACACATCCAGGTCGTAGGAATAAAGCAACATTTCATAAATTGTATTCCATCCACCAGGGTCTAGGAGATGTTTGGCTGTGCTCCAGGATTAAAGTATGTTTTGCTAGTTTGGTAAACAGTGCATATAAAATCATGTAATACATTGTGATGCACCACCTTCAGAAACAAAGGACTTATTCCCCCAGCTGCTGGCAGGGCTGCTGGCCCAGAGCCCTCAGGTGTTAACCTTCTCCAGGAATTGCTCTTAGCTGAAGAGGGCCACCTTGCCCAAGAGCACATCCCTTCCCAGGGCAGCCTGTATCCAATGTCTGGTCCATGTGGGGCTATACAGGCCCCGCCCCTCACCCAATTTAAGACAACTCAAAACATCCATCCCAGATCCCAACAGCCATCTATAAGAAACTTGCTGCACACCAATCTTGAGGTCAGAGTCTACTTACCAGAGAGCTCAATCTGTGACAGCATATTAGCATGTTCAAGTTTTGAAGAATCTCAGAATAAAAGAAACTTGTTTAATTGTGTTTAGTGCTTAACCTGGTTTATAAACCCGAGGACTTTCCTTCAGAACACTGTCACATACGCAGAGTGGTTTCTCTTACTATGAGTTTGGGACATACTGGAGTCATTTTTCTTCCTTGAAGTATGATTCACATACACTATCCTATTAGTTTCTGGTATCAATTTTAGATCATTGTACATGTTTGGAATTTAGACTATTCTATTATGATG